TATATATATATATATATATATACATGAATTTTACAAAATTTGCTAAATCTGCCGCTCCTAGTTGGGGGTAATACCTGCGCGAAATAGAGGCCCGTAATTTTTTTCTCCCGGGCCTGGTTTTTCTCTCTACGGCTCTGCTCACATGAGTGTAAAGCCCATTCTACAATTGCGTAAGCGTAGTTGTAAGTGGTTGTAGTTGTAAGAATTGACTAATCACAATCGAATATTCTCCTCATATTTGACTGTGATAGGTTAATTCTTACAACTACAACCACTTACAACTACGCTTACGCAATTGTAGAATGGGCTTAATATGCGTGCACAGCGTAACGTTTCAGAGCTTCACGACTCTGCAACGTATACGGTTACTGTGCCGTATAAATGCTATCTGGGTAACTGTAAAACATATATTGCCAAAAAAAGCATTTTTGCGAGAAAGACGTCTTGGTGAAACGACCGCTCTACACTGAAAAAAGTGATCTTGCAGTTACAGCGAAAATTATCTAAGTACGAAAAATAGCTGGAATAGATAAATTTCTAGCAGGTACTGCGATATTGGATATGTATTGCATCTAATCATATAGATGACAGAGATAGAATTTAGATTTGTGCTATAAATTCTATGCGTATGATATATAATTTTCTATCAGATACAAAAAACAGTTATAATTCTAGCTGGAGCAGCAAAATATTTTTTTGCGTGTATTTTCTCGGAGTTATATAATCGTGAGTAAATAATGTCGAAAAATTATTGTATATGATATTTTCATTACATTTTTTTTTAAAGAAGAAAATCCTCGATATCATTTTTCCGAGCATGTATAAAAATGCTTCCACTTCAGTCGTGCAAATAATACTTTTTGGAATGTATAACGTACTTTTTTTCTTAAAGTTCACGTTTTCCTCTTTTCAAAACACTATTTATTTTTATCTACATCTTTTTTTATCATAAAGATGTGATTTTTTGAAAAAAAAAAAAAACTGATTATTGCACTCTTTTCACCAATTTTTTTTGTTTTTAAATATTTTTTGGTATAACTTTTTCAATTATTATTAAAACCTTTTTATGTTTTGATATCTCGATTCTATACATTCTGACATTTCATTAAAAAAAAATTTCCATTGAGATTTGTGATAATTACAGAGTCAGTAAAAATCGCCGTGGGTGACTTAAACCCAGGTAGATAAATTAAAATTTGAAAACGAGACATGTAATTAAGTAATGATTTGTGACATGAGTTAAGTAATGATTTGTGATATTTTTTTGAAATACAAAATTCAATTTTATTTCCGTTTACTATTCTTAATTATTAAAAAGTTATTGTAATCATTACAAGATATCAATTTGTTTAAATTTTTGAAAATTGTAATTATTAATTGTATATAATATTATAAATATTTAACATGATGTACTTAATTTTGTGATTAAACGCATTCGAATTTTTTTGTGTGAAGGATGCGTGAAGGACGTATGAGGAATGTTTGAAAATAAAAAATCAAGATAAATGTAGATTAGTGGTTTGATGACTTATTTACGTGAAATTGTGTGAAACGTTAGAGGTATCGCATTTCTTTTAAGCGTGACTAGATTGGTCCTCTCTGAACCATCTATAATCGCCTAGATACATATCTTCGCGATTTTCTGCTTGGATCCGGATTCAGCCAAAGAAGTGGTCGAATCTCATAGGAAGTCGGCTAGATTTCCCATCGCGGCCGGCATTCTTCTGCCGCGAAAATACGTGCAGCCCTCACCTCTTTGATCCCCATGGACAGATCTCCAAATACCAAAGGGATTCTATTCGTCCACTTCGCAAGAAAGGGCTCGCGCTGCGTAAAGACGGAACCCTTGTGACCACTAGCGAAAATCGCTGGGAATTGAGGGGTGTGACGTGTCCATTTGCGGTTGACCAGTTGTTGCTATGGGATCAGGCACTATCCACGTGTTTCCCTCTTTCCGCTTTTCTCGCAACCCTACAAAGGGTGGGTCCATTCATGACAGCATTCGTGAGAGTGTTCGCAAACGATGCCTTATCAGAGATCTTGCGTTTCGTTAATTTGATGGTCCTGGGTAAAACTTTCTTGTTTACGCTTAGTTTCTATATCATAAACATTTACATTTCTAATATTTCCATCTTCTGTTTTGATTTCTTATCCAAGCTGTTGAGTTTTTCGTATAATATATTCGATGAAAAGGATGCTCGTTGTGGAGTGATGTCAGTTTTCAAGAATGAAAACTGTCTGAGGTAACTGACAATTTTAGAGTTGCCAGAGGCGTAACATTCTACGATCATACTAAATACTATGACATATACTTTCACAAAAAAGAAATTGCCAGTAAACAAAAAATATTTTTTACAAACTAAAATAAAACGAATTAATTTTTTATGAAGAATCCAATTATATGTCGCTTATTTCGACTTTGTAAATGTTTTTAGATTCTTATAAATGAATGTAACCGCTGCTTTATATTCACATTTTGGCGAGTCAAATTAATTTAATGTAACAAATATTAATTTAGCTTATTAACTTAAATATTAACTTATTTGTCCCAATTATTATGATGTAATTTTTATGACTAAGGATGAGAAGAAGAATTCTGAAATTCGCATTTTTTCAGTTGTAAGATCGCAATCATAACAAAAAAGATTTCTCGGAGAAACGAAGGAAACAGGGAAAGAAAGGAAGAGGATTTGCGACGTTGTAACGATGCAACAAAGCGCAATACCGACGTCGAAAATTTTCGCAATGTAATCTTACGTATTCATAGGTAAGAAAAGGGTTTTCCTTTCGTACATAATAGCGTTTGGCAGAGTGAAAGAGGAGTTAGGACGGATTAGTCACTATGCCGCTGGACATCTGTCGTAGTGACGGACGGTGGTCAGCTAACTCTCTCGATATGATCAATGGCACTTTCTTTAGGTAAAACCTTGATGATCGTAGAATGTCACGGTAGGCAATTCTAAAGTTGTCGATGTCACCTTCGACAGCTTTCATTCTAGAAAACTGATCACTCCATAACGAGCATCCTTTTTATCGAATATACCGTCATACGATACTCGTTTTTAGGTAACCTCTTTAAGCAAATATAAATATTTTATAACCAAATATTATAGTATTCTTTTTTACAAGATGTTTTATTTTGTTAAGCGTACCGATGATATTGCGTGCTAGAAGTAAATGCTAAAATTAATTTATTAAGATCCATTATATTCTCTATATAAAGATCAACATTTTTTAAATTAGCATGATGCACTTTTTTTTAAATTAAAATTTTAAGATCATTTAATTTCAATTAAATTTGCAAAAGTAATATTAGAATAATTATAAATCGTGAATAAATTCATTATGTCTCAAATGTAAACGTGTCAACAAAAGATATTAAGGATACAAAAGATCAAACATTCAAATTTCGATATAGGTTTAAACAAATGCTTTTCTTGGTTGTAAGAATTGCTACATCATTTATCTTATTTTTCTAACCAGAGGGGACTTTGTTCCTTTCTCATGTTTATTGTTGACTGACTTGTATTTGTGAAAGTTTTCGTTCTCCACTCACCACATAGTTCTTTCATTCTTTCGGGATCCCTTTCATCTTTTTCGTAGCTTTGAGAAGAATCTTACATATTTCGCAATTCGTTACATTTCTTGTTATGTCATGATTAATTTTTTCGTAAATATTGAAAAAGCAGAATATCACGGTTATCTTGATTTCTAGATACATCTTAACAATATATTAATAATTAGCAATATTTTTGAATAATGAATAATGATAAAATTATGAAAATTTATCGAAACGTGCGCGAAGTGATAAATAAATTCAGTCAATTATATTTAAAGATGCATAGACAATGCATAGAAAATTGCTTAGAGATATTTTTATTCATTGTCATAATAAGATCGATAATTCTATTTTTTTTTATTTATTTTCTATCTGATTACGAAATGATTGCGTGATCATTTATATTGATCCAGGATTGAGACAGATCAGATTTGGAAGCAGTTTATGGCAAATGCATAAAAGAGGCGGACCATACAAAAAGTCCAAACCTTCGAAGAATCCTTTCGATGGCGCACCATTTATGAAGGGCGTAATTTTAAAAACTGTCATCAAAAAACCGAAAAAGCCTAACTCTGCAAATCGAAAATGCGTCATTGTGAGATTATCGAACGGCAAAGAAATGACGGCGTATGTTCCCGGTAAGATCTCGAAATCATTTTAACTTGCAGCAATACTGCATTCGAGTCATTGTCGCGCCAGAAAACTTGAGGCGTCATGTAGTTCGCGTTAGAAAATTTGATGAATTAAATTATTTCAGGAGTCGGTCATAATCTGCAGGAGCATAATATAGTGCTGTGCAAGAATGGACGATTGCGAGATACACCTGGAGTTAAGATAAAATGCGTGCGTGGAAAGTACGATTTGCCACATGTATCTAAGCGCACTTAATTTGTAACTGTTAATTGTTATCATACGTATGTCTGATAAAATTAATGTAATTTCTGTAAAAAAAGAACATCAACTATACCACTATTGTCTACCTAATTTTGAAAATACATCATTGCGAGATTATTGAATAGTACGGAAATGATGATATGTATTTCTAGTGAGATGTAAAGGTACAGTATTACCTAATTAATCTACTCTTCGGAAATTTTACATTTTTGAATTAAGATTCAGAAAATTTTGCATTTATGTAAACAATAAAATTGCGACATTACGGGAATGTTGAGCGTCGATTAAAGAATATAATATCATAAGATTTCCTGAATCCTAAATACGACTTTTTAATATATGTATATTAAAGATATTATTGAAAATGTGTTGATCAAGACATTTCGATTTCGCATAATCGATCAACATAGCTCACCCTCGCAATCGCGACGGAAAGCAATTTTCGGGACGTCACGGTTTAGAGATTAGCCATGAAAATTGCGGCCCTTTGACACACTTTTGGCATGCTGAACTCCACCACACATTTACCGTTACCTGGCTCGCGGGTTCGTTATTGTAACGGTGGATGGACAATGGGACTCTGCTATCGGAGCATAATGGGAAAAGGGTTGTGACACAGCATCCGCTTTTTCGACATTATTACGGAGGGGTTGGTCGTCGCGCATCTGCACAACTTTCATTCGCCCACGCGGCTATCGACCAGCGACTAGCGACCATATGACATGCTGACCAATATCTCGATATTTGGAGAAGATCGGCTCTCAACCTGAAATCTTTAGAGGCGAAGAAAGATTCTTATATAAATCTTTTTGAATAAGTATTATACTCAGAAGTTGAATTTGAATCGTTCAAATGAATTTTCGTTCCGTTTTAAAGATAAAATAATTCTTACATTCCAAATGAGGGTTTTTAATATTAAATATTAAAATAATTCAAATTGGATGGAAAGAAAAAATTCAAAAAAAATTTCTGAAAAAGGTTTTTCGTTATTCGTTCTTTTTTTTTTAATTTGGGTTATTTTAACATTATATATATTGTGTGAATGAGAACCTGTTATAGACCAGGCTTATCCCAAGGGAGATGGTTATCTCAAGGGATAATAGCGCCACGAGGCGTGCGTACGCCAGAATATTTCATTAAACTTCCACAATATATGTCTTTCCTATTTTGCAGAAAATATAGCTGACATCATGGTGTTAATTATTCGTGTTAATTATGGATATTTATTCAGGAATTTGTTGAACTACGAATAAAGTTTTAAAATTGGAATCATAAAAATCATTTCTGCAGAAACTTTTTAGATTTTTATTTTTATTTTAATCTATATTAAAATGCAATTTTTTTTGTATTCCTGATTATATCAAGATATTTCAATTTCTATCATTATTGAAAAATGAAAATTAAATTTGCTAATGTTACAAGTAGTAAATGTGAATTTATCTAGTATTCCATATTTCATTTTTTTCTCTTGCAACTTCTTTTTTTTTCTTTTAACATTTAAAAGCTAATTTCTACAACAGATAATGATAATAAAGTAGGACAATCGTAACAAAAATATATACATTCTTAATGGCTTTCGATGAAAACAAAGTACAAAATGTCCCGATTTAAAATTTAGTGATTACAATATCAGAATCGATATTCTGCATAACTAAACGTATTCTAATAAATACATACGAGAATATGTATTTGAGATAAAACTTTGCTTAAAACACGAAATCGTTTCAAACAAGGATGTCTACAAGGAATCTCCAAGCAAAATCGCTGTGGTGAACTGATTCAACAACGGTAACAAAATTGAAAGAAAGTTTACAATGCACAAGTCTTCAAATGACTAACAGTGCTGCCAAAAGCCTCTCAAACAAATGGCGAGTAAACATTTTCTGTGCCGTCGCACGATTGTGCCTAACTCTTTGCTGTTCGGCTTAGTAATCGGACACCGGACGATCTCTTCTTTCTGAAAATTCTGCAGTCGCAGTTCGACTACTACTTTCTTTCCATCAAGTATTTCTTTTTAAGCGCATATGCTCAGCTGTCCCGTTATTTTATATATATGTGCATATAATTTTTAATAAAATTATTTCATTTATAAAATTAATATTTCTGTCTACATATTGGTGAGTTTAATTCTGCGGGTATGCTTATGAAAATATAATTTAACAATATAAAGATTGTTCATAAAATCAATTATTAATTGTTAAATTGATTTGCTTTATTCCATAATATTTTTATGTCTTTAAAATTCGGATCAAGGTCTCTTAGTAAGTATCCGTTTAAATATTTGCTAATATATCTCGAATTACAACTTAATTCAAGTTATCCCTTTTCGTAGTATACCTACCGTTACGCATGCTGAGGTAATCCATCTTCATCGAGCAACAAAGAGAGGATTTTCAGTCAAGAAATAAAATCGATCTTTGAAGTGTGAAGGAATGTTAGAATAAGAAAGCAAACAGAGAAAGAGTTTTCGCAAAAATTTAACCATTGAGAATAAGCAAATTTCGAATAACTGTTATAGGCCCAAATTAGAAGATAAATGGAACTTGTGCAATCTTTTTCTATTTTGTAACTCTTTGTAGTATAGAAGACAGTTAAAGATCTAACAATAATTGTCTAAGATTACATCGAAGGTCGAAAAATTAGAAAAATGAACAAATTTAAATATGAAAGAAAAATACATAATCATCAACAAAAAGCAAAGGGAGGTACATGTATTGTGCGAATAATTTATCTGAGATGTCTTCAATGAAGGTCCTTCTTCAATAATTAATATATTTTTTAATTACATGCGTTACATCATTATTACATATTATTTCTGTAAAGTATTGTCGCATTAATGGAAAATTATTTTTTTAATAAAACAATTTAACAAATATTTTGCATTTAGATAATATTGAATAAGGAGTATATATATATATAATAAAAATTATATGTTGACGCTTCGTGGTCACACATTACTTATTATTAATGACGATAATTATACGACATTATATGACACAAATAAAAGATAAAGAATGTGATAATTATAATTCATTTTAAATGTAAATCATTTTTAATGACTTTATACTTGAGAGTAATCTCATAAATTATAGATTTTTTCCATTTTCCTTGAGATATAAACAAATAAATATCAAAAAGCATACATGAAAGGCTTTTGTTCATTCCTTATTTTTACGATTGTGATCGGTATTTATAATTGATTCTTATATTTATGACTTAAGCATAGTCTTAAGACGTCATGAGTCATGAACCAATCAAAGGGCTGCGTTAGCATTTGAAGTTTATTTAAGACATCTTATAATACGGATTATGAATACCGACCTGTAACTCTGTACAATAAGTCAACAATTGCGTCGATCAGCCTATGGATGAGTGGTAATGACGAATCACGTACACATTGCATGATTGAAACACGCAGTTATCTTGTGGTGCTCATATTTGGTAACAATGATCTAGTTTCGGAATTAATTCACCTGATACAACGCGCGTAGAATCAAAATTTAAGTCGATTGAAATGTGTTTAATTATGGTCATTTTACTCCAGTTTCGATCCACAAGATCAGTACTTCCAATGGAAACAGTATATTGCACCAAAGTAAAACCGAATTGAGAAATTGTGGAAATTAGAGTAGTAGTATAACGTACAATATGTACAATATATAATACAATAATAATGTGCATTATAATATTCGAAAATTATCGGATAGCGAGTCCTTGAAATAAAAAATAAAAAATGTCTTAATCGAATCTATCAAAAGCTTTAATGGCTTAATTAAATATTTTTATGAATGCAATTAATTTATTTGTCGGCTATAGCATGGTCACTATTGAGAGATTCAAGAAAATATAATGTCCGTTTCAAGTGTCCGTTCTTGCTTTACGGTCCCGCCACTTGTAAATACCCTGAGAAAGCTATCAACGGTGCATCTGGCTATTCACGGCTCGTAAATTCAGACGTTCGAGAAAAGCGATGGGATGGATATGTTGTGTCCATCCGATACCGTTACGATACGTTGCTGTGCCTGTGAGCGTGAGACAGATGCAAATGGCGAATGCATTCATCCGTTGCCGGGACCGGCGATCACGGGAAAAATCGCAAATAACGGGTTGCGGCCGTTTCATGGATGCACCATAGAAATGTGGGTTATGCAGCCAAAAGAGCAAAAATTTGTATACATAAGAAAAGAGGCTGTGCGGTGAATTGAGCGCTGGGATGCTTTTCTATGAATGACAAGCTTCAAATCTGGAGCCTAGAATGGACGACTAAATTTGGCGTGATCGCGAGACACCGACATAATGAGGCATCGCTGTCGTCGTATCGGAACTAACCCTTCACATTGACGAGGTTCGTTTTCCATTTTATTATATATCTGTATATCATTTTTTTTTTTAAATATTAATGAAACTGCGGATAGGAGAGCAACTGCGAATGTATTACAATCCAGGACTTTATAATGTAAAATGACGATTGTTTTTCGCAAAAAGAGAGGTAATAGTAAATACACTCACAGTTCAGAACTTTTACTGAGAGACGTTTCTTTGTCTCTTTGCTGTTTACTACTTTATTAATGTTGAGAATTATCGGAAAGTAATTATTCGTTTATTAATATAATCAGTATATACTTTTTTAAAATACGAAAATTTTTAGATACTTTAGCAAAATTATTTTTCCCGTATATGACACGTAGAAGAATCCCGTAAATGAAAAATGGATTCTTTTGATTTATTAGAATTGTCTATTGAAAAATGATGCTTTTCTAATGAATTTCGGCTCCTTTTATTATATATGCTCCTTTAGAAATGAACTAATGCTCCCTTGAGAAATAGAATAACATTTTTCACCACTCAATGTAATTTTCTTTTGAACAGAATAATAGAATTGCAAGCTTTGCAATTTTTACGCAAGTATACACAAATTAATATTGAACTTCTATAAATCATCTTGACAAGTAAAAAAAAATACTTAGCTAACTACCTATACACAAAAACCCTTTCTTCTATTCTGAAGTCATTAGACTTCCTATTTATGGATCTTTAGCATCGTGGTTTGTAGATCTGTATGAATGTCGGCATAGAAATCTTTAATTTTATATACATATCGAATACTTAATGTTATTTTGTAATTTCTACGTAAAATATACAATTAACACAATTAAAACTTAATCCTTCCATCAGTCACGTTGATAAGAACAATCAAAAAGAGAATATCTTTTCTTCTGCTCTGAAATCAATTTAGATGTCTACGTATTCTATTTGGAATTCTATTTATTTTTAAACATACTGCATATGCTTATTTTTTTCTAAAGAATTTTGTCTAAAATGAGTTACAAGTGAATAGTTAAATATCATCTTATATGTATAATTATTGTGTACGTCACTAGAAAAATAGTTTTAGGTTTTAAGTTGAAAAACAGAAAAAGTTAGTTTAATTAAAATTATTACTTATTCAGTTAATGAGATTTTGAAAAACCGCTGCAATAAAATAGTCGAGGTGCTCTCTATTTCTATAGTATTTATACTTTAAACCATTAATATTACATGCCGGGTGTTTCAGACCACTTATATATCCTATTTAAAAACGAGGGAAACTGTTATTTTGAAAAATGTTTCAGATAAAAGTTGTTAGGGATCAAGTAATGCATAACGTGGACATATGTGATTGATCTTGGGTAGCATTATGAAGGTCAAGTCGAGGTCGACTTGAATTTTTTTAATGATAACCATATCTTTCGTTATATATTCTTATAGCTGACGTCGAGACAATAGTTACAAACCTTTTTTAATTGAGATCTTCCTGAATTATAAGACTTCAAAATTTCAGTACCGCGTTAGCATTACCCAAGATGTACCGCATGGAGGTCACACGGTCAGGTTTATACCTCTTCGGGGTGTTTGATTGAGAATCCGAATAAATATAGATTGAAATAAATATAGATTTAAGAAGTTCTGCCGATTTTATCAGAGAGAATATCTGATGTATATACAAATGTTCTTGTGACAAACAATTTCTTAACCTATTTAATATATATTTTAATTTTAAAAATGTTTATCACGAAACGCGGGCGCAGGCAGCCGACTTTTCTTTAGCCGTACAAGCTTTTCCGTAACGCATTACGTTGCGTACTATTGACCGAAACTTAGATTCGCACATAATTTTAAACTTTAATCAACGCACAGACAAAAAATGTAACGTGACATAAAATAATGCTACGTTATATTTTTTATCAGTGAAAAAAATCTCTAAGAATTTTTTCAGAATTTCTTGTCAACTTTTTAGTACTGCATTTTCTTATTGGCAATTATTTTTACCAACATGAGAAAATGCGATACTAAAAAATTCTGAACAAATTCTCAGAATTCTATGAGAAGAAAATAAAGAATTTTTGTCACTTGCTGTTTTTCTGTAAAGTTGATAGTGCTTGAGTAAAAAATTATTAAAAACCAAAATATTCGGCGATTTTTAGTAATTAATAATTATACTGTTAACTATTGTGAAAATTGTAAAATGGTAGAGGACTTTTCGACTCAGTTTAGTCCGCTCTACTTCTATGCGAGAATTTTATCGTTACCTAAGAATTTTATCAAACACCCTGTATAAGCAAATTCTCACTATTTCCATATAAAATTTGGGAAGAAGAACAGGAAAAATAGATAAGAATATTTGCTTTCAGTTCTATAGATTTCCAAAAATGCTAATATCTCGCATAAGTTAATTTATTGTCAATTTCCGCAAGTTATAATAATAATAATAATGCAATTAGATTACTTAAGTAAAAATATTTATTTGTAATTTATTTTTATTTTGTAAGTTATAAAGATTTATACGCCAAAAGGCAATAAATTTTTAGTCTTTTCTTAGATAGGATATTTAATTTAAATTTGGAGCTAATTATATCACATCTCATCACATATATATAGGTCGTCTGAAAAGTTTTGAGCCTCAACATGAAGATGGCATTATTCGTCAAAACAATTTTGGTACTATAATCGTACATACTTTGAAAGATACCTGCGAAAATTGTAGCTACTTCCGGCGCTTAATTGTTGTTTGACAGTCATTTGTGCCAGTCAATGTCAATGTTTTTGTAAAAATGGAAAAAATCAAATATCAGCAGTCGCCATGATAAAAATTCACGAATTGCGGTTCGAATTAATTGACCATCCACCGTATTCACCAGATCTGGCCCCCAGCGACTTTTTTCTGTTTCTTAGGCTCAAAATTTGGCTCGGAGGACAGAAATTTTCATCGAACGAGGTCGCCGCATCCGTAGACGCCTATTTTGCAAAGCAAGACGCTCAGTATTATTTGAATGGATTAAAGGGGTGGGAGCATCACTGGAAAAAATGTATCGACTTAAAAGGAGACTATGTGGAAAAATAAAATTGAATTTGACCGAAAAATTACTTGTTTCTATGTTAGGCTCAAAACTTTTCAGACGACCCTCGTATATCTTCTTTCTTAAATTGTCTTAATTTCTTTTGTCTACGTTTATTTAATTTAATATCTGATAAAAAAGATATTCTCATCTAATCAATTTCAAAATATTGTTACATTACGTGTCCGAGTCATCAGAGGTACTTAATGATTGTGCAATGCGTGCATAGTACATAGATGAGTCAAAATCGAAGTTAAAATTTATTAAACTATAGATTTGGATGTATAAACGCAATGAAATAGCTTTCTGAATTGACAGCGTCTTTATTAAAATTATTTTCCTCTATTGTTGATCAATATAAAACAATTTTACTTTCTTATGTCCATTTTTACGAATGTAGATTAACTTTAATTCTGGTTTGATTTACTCTTTATCTTTTTCTGAATCTAAGAATTAAAATTAAGAAAAGAAAAAGTACGATTCTAGCACGATTCCTTTTTTAGTTGATTTCTACAACTGAAATAACTATACATATATACACATTTCTGGGGTAGCAAAATTATTATTACACACGGGCGGTCAATTCTTTTTGCACATCTGTATAATTTAGTATAATCTGCAGTAGACCATGTAGAAAATATATGATATTAGATTTTCTTATTAAATTATTATTATTATTATATTATGTAACAATATAATATTATATTATAATTCATAAAAAAAAGGAAACGACATACTTATCTAGCAAATACAGAACAGAATAATATATTGTCTCTCAGTACATAAACCTTTAGATTGTACAAAATAAAAGTATATTGCAAGTATATATATATATATATATAAAGAAATCTTTTAAAATAAAATAAATCAGTGCTCGGATTTAGTTGCATATTTCGGCCGATTTTCAACTTGATTGTAAATGCCGATCGGCATTTAGGCTGCGCGGGGGTTGGTGAAGTAAGGGGCAGGAAAACCAAGCTGAAAATCGGCCGAAATGCGCAATTAAATCCGAGCACTGAAATAAATAATATATACTATAAAATTAAAAATATGCTAAAATAAGAAACTACGTAAATGCATCTACGGCTTTATGTCGTGTGTTATTTTGGAAATTGCTTATGATTGCCTGTAATTCAAAAGAACACATACCATCTCGAAATTCGACCAACAGGTTGCATAGTTTCCCCACTACTTTCCCTAAGAAAGAGTTTGGGGCCTCACAAGGGTAGCTATATAAAGCTCTCCAACCCCGGCCGAGACTAGATAGATACAGAAATTTGCCCAGTAAAGTTTGTCTCGAGTAGGAAATCCAGTTCATCTCTTTTCCTACGTTCGAAACAAATACGCGTTAAAGTAATCACGCGCTCGCGGTAATCAAATATAATAATAAGAAAACGAGCATATTGTAAGTGTTGTGCTACCAGTGATTTCAATGTAACCTTGGATTAAACTTGGATTATTAGGTAAGCATATTTACAAAATTGCGACAGAATTCTGTCGAATAATATTTTTGCACTTTTTAAACTTGAAAAATAAAATTTTTTTTTAATCTTATGCATACTATATATTACACATCGTCGAATTTATCCATAAAACAGTGCTGAAAGATTGAAAAGCTAAAAACCGCCTTGATATTTTATACATAACTCTCTCAGTGTTTGCATTATTTTGTTATATTTGTTCTATCAACGAAAAGATACTTTTTTCACTTTTAAACCGCCGTCAATTAATTATCTCCATTAGTTTCAGATTTATAGGTCAATTCTCTTTAAGTAGAATCGCATAAGACTTGTAACACGTTATCATATGACTTTGTAAGAATTTACGAGTGTTCATAATTTTTTTACTTTATGCAATAAAGTGAAACTCCTTACAGACAGCTTCTTGCTAGCGTAAGATTTACAAGAAATAGATATTTATAAATTCGTACGATTTACGGTACACACACACACATATGCACAGAATTACAATTAATTTCAAATCTATCTGTCTCTAATGTATAAGAAAAAATAAAAACTATATTACATAAATTTATTTGACACAGAATAACTTATCTAAAGGATCTATTTATGTGATTATATATGAAATCTATACGAAGCTCGTTATTGCTCATTATACAGGGTGATTCGAAATTCGAGGAATCGGAATGTAGAACATGATACTTTATGCTAAAACAAACAACTTTTTGCTAAACGACGCAATTTTGCTAAAGGAAAAAATTGTTTTTTGTGTTAAAACGAACAACTTTTTCCTGTAATAAAATTACATTCGATAAATAATTTTTGCGTTTACTCGTATAACTTCAACCTGCTCTCCTGCAAAAACTACTTGTCAGACGCAATTTTGCAAAAGGAAAAAATTGTTTCTTTTAGCATAAAGTATCATGTCCTATACTCTGATTCCTCGAATTTCGGATTACCCTGTACAATGCGTACATTTTTAAGTTGCATTCTTTCACATTCTCTTTCGCTTTATAATTAAATTTAGAAAATGTATTCAATGAATGTCATTAAAGCCTGAGTGGAATGTTTGAGTAGGAATTGCCGATAGGAAGTGATAAGACTGGCACGTTCTTCCTACAAAAATATTTATTCCGTCGTACGCTCACTTAAATCATAGCTACGAAAATAATGAAGCGCAAATGTATTATATTGCCAATGCACGTGGTACGCATATTTCATTATGCTGGCAAAATAATATAAAGGATATAACAATATATTATTTTTTCTTTATTTAAAGAACAATCAAAGTTTTAAAATGCAGGGAAAATACTGCTATAACTGCGTTAACGTGGTAGTTAGAATTTGAATTATTGCAGAATTAATTAGGATTTTTTATTGAAAAAGACTTGATAAATTTTATGCTAATATAAGATTGTTTAAAATTTTAAATATTTTTTTAGACTGTACATTCTTTAATTTTCACATTCGCACATACACGCAATATATTTTCAATATATATGAATTAATAATTAATAATAATTTATAATCTTTTGTTGCAGCTAATTATAAATGATGGAAAACTATTACAAAGGACATAACGAAAGTCGTTTTGAACATTTGTTTGAGCAAAAGGATAACTCAGACTTTAATACGTTGGTTCTGGATCTATCATGCAAGAAGCGCGTGACGTCTACATTGTCCGAAGTCGGAATAATTCAACCCAATGGCTTATCGCAAACTTTGCCTTCAGCAAAGAAACAAAAGTATCAAGAAATACAGATACCTTTTCTAGATGAAAATACACAGACTCCCATCGCGGACGAAATAATTCAATCCATTGGCTTATCGCAAACTTTGCCTTCAGCAACGAAGCAAAAATATCAAGAAATACAGATACCTTTTCTAAATGAAAATACACAGACTCCCATCGCGGGCAGTAGTGCCATGCTATCACCATATTCTGAGTCAAACTCACCGAAAGAGGTGAAGGATTCTGTGGACTACCATGAAAATAGTAACCAATTGAAACATACTGTGCCATTAACAAGTACGCATAATGTTACTCCAGAAGTAACAATGGTAGCGCCTCAGCAGCCGTCGCTACTTGCATTCCCGAACGAAACCATGAATATTCCCGTAGTACCAAAAATGTATTTACCGTATATAGAAACACCGCAATCTTTTATAACAAATAATGAAATCAGAAGAATCGTTTCGATGCCAGCAGAATGCTCGACGTCGGATACGAAACCATCAACGTCTTCGGATGCTACGAAGAAAACACCAAGACCTTTCAAGGCCTACCCGAACAATTTTTTGACTATTTTTAATACTGTTGATCACAATTCGAATGAGAACTATGCAAAGTTCCGTCAGATGATACTTGAAAACATTAAAAAAATAAACAAAAATACATCGAATCCTAAAATGCGTCGACTATCCAAGTCTGCTAGCAGTCCTGGATTGCCTACTAGTACCGTCGATGAGAAAGGTGCTATTTATTGGGAAAGAAGAAAAAAAAATAACGAAGCAGCGAAGCGTTCCAGAGATGCTCGAAGGGCTAAGGAAGACGAGCTCGCAATCCGAACTAGTTTCCTCGAATACGAGAATGCGCAACTGAGGATGGAAGTACAGAGACTCAGGATGGAGACACAAAGACTCAGGATGGAGGCACAAAGACATATTTATATACAATAATTTATATCAAGTAATTTGGTTAGTTGTGAATTATTATTACGACATGTGATATCTAGTATACAATAATAACGGATTTATGCCCAATTTTTTCACTTCCAGATAAGTTACAGATAACTTTATCCAAGAGATATCCCACTGTAAATCTGGAAGATATCGCCTGGATAAAGTTATCTAGAGGTGAAGAAATTGAGCATTAGCATGATGCAGTTTCCATAACATCCATTACAAGGAATATATTTAAATGTTTGATACATATATATATTTTTTGTATTTATCTAATATATTTGGTATATAAAATATATAACTACAAACTATATGTAACATATAGTTTGTATATATATTTTTACACAGTATGTATGAGTATATATATGAGTATAGTATATATACACATACTATACTACACTCTTAGACATATTGCCACATATTTGATATAATACTGTACATATGTGTGTACATATTTAGTTATCTGACAATTCTTCACCGTGTCATGAAAATATTCACAACTGATGTAAGAAAATATTTTGGCAGGTTATTTGTTTCGTGTGTAAATATATCTTTGAACATTTTTCTTTAGATACTAAAGTATAAATTATCACATGCAAACTCCATACAACCATGTGATGTTCCAATGTAAAAACTATAAGGTGCGTTGTATAAGAAATTAAAACTGAGAATGTGTGGAGTTATGTGGTAATTTTTAAATATGCTTTATAATCGACGCTATTAATATAATGATTACAAATAATAGACTGATACAAAAATATCAAAATTGACGCAATATTAATGACTCTATCCTATTTTTGCAATACAATACGGATTAAAATTTGTTAATATGTAAAATTGTCAAAATATTATATATTTGGTTTGTGCAAACAGAAATATTAAAAATATTATGTACATACAGTATGTATTGATTTGAGATAAGTTTTAACCAAAGTTTAGTATAATAAACGTTCGGAAATTTGTAAACATTATACACGTATTACATATATTAGTATATAGCATTATATTTCATGAAAAGAATAAAAGTTCTTTTGTACCATTATGTTTGTTCCATTATTGTTTTGAAGCACTAAAATATTTAAAATATAATTTCTATAATTTCCTTTCTTATATATCCTACAAATATGTTTTTAAATACGTTGTTATAAATTAAATACGTTTGTTTACTTAATTTTTATATCTTAAAATTAATATATTCTTACAGTTATACATACAAATCCTTCAAAACATTTCATCATTAAAATTAAAAAGAAAATTTCGCATACACATAAATTATCAATTAGGCAATGTATCTGCAAGTTCCATCATAGTATCTGACTCAAGAACATTCTGTTCTCTATTTTGATTATTTGTAAGTACCTTCGAAAAGGATTTTTGTACTTGTCTAGGGATAAAAGCTAATGGCGTTATTTTACTTTTTATACTAGTTGATGAAATTGTTTCCACACTTGAAATTGTTTTTACACTATCATTGTTTTTACAGACTGCACTAGTAGTATTTTTTGTGAACATCTTGCTTTTCTGATTTTTATTCAAGAGTATCTTAGGTTTCTTCTTTTTTTTATTGTCAACAATATCAAATTCCATTTTATTTGATTCCTCTTCCTTGGTGTAATACGACGTATCGTCGAACCGATATTTCTTTGGAAATTTATGTACTCTAATGCAATGTTCCTTCCTCTCCATTGGATTATTGAATTTTATGTCACATTCAGAATCATAACATTTATACTAGAAGAATATCTATATTAAGTATATTTAACAATACTGTAACAATATATATTTAACAATACTGTAACATAGATTTATACAAAAATATAGTCTGTATGATATGTATACCATGGCTTTCTTCTCCGATAAGACTTTGAAGAAGACATCGTGTGTCTCCTGAATATGAATCTCCAACAATCGTGGATTTGGTTTGGATACTTTACATTCTGTACAAACATATCGATGCGAGATGTCATAATGCATTTCATAATCGAGCAGCGTTTGAAAAGTTTTCTTGCATCCTAGAACGTAACATGGGAATTCCTTGATTCTGAAACAAGATATTGACTTTACTTTTCTCTATTATAAATCAAGTAGGCAACCATTTCTCTTCCATTATAATAGAAATAGAACAATATTTTAGGATTCTTGAAATTTCTTTGCAGAATTCTTTATATGATGAATCATGTAAGTATTGAATGAAGGACGGCAGAGATGGTGATAATCAAAACAAAAACAAGTTTTTAGGTTATGTCATCATTTTTCTTAAAGAGAAATCTGTACTCACACTTTGTGGCAAAGTTCCTCCTCGTCATCAATCGTGACGCCCTTTTTCTGGAAGACCTTGCAGACTTTGTAAGAATCTTCAAAGAAGGGATCGTTCACAGGGCGAATTCCGACACCTAACTGCTGAAGAGCCTCTTCCATAGCGGATTAGTGTGCCTTCCAACGAGTTACAACTGTTACAAGCGACACAGTGCGACACTGGTCATGTCATCTTTGTTTAACATTGGTAAACAACAAGGATGCAATGATCCATTGTGTCACACTGTGTTATTTGTGTCGTTTGTTGGAAGCCACACTAGATCAGATACCGTATAAATAAATATAGCGCGCGTTTCCTTTGAGAAATCTCAATGCGACTATATTCATTAATTTTTATTACGTTTATCGATCGAATAAGTGCAATGTTTATTGTTCATACCGTTCGTATATACTGCCTTTAACGATACAGCGAGTGCTGCACCAACCGGCGCAACGCATTGCGTTCGCGATCCAAGATGGCGCCTCGACGCCCATTGGCTGCCGGTTCGACCTATCGCAGTGCACACCACTTCGATAATCGAAATTTGAACGCGAGCAGTTCCCGTAAAGATGACGTGACCCGGTTTTCGCGAAGTGACGTTTCGTGGTGAGTTGCGAGGGAAATACGCGGGAAAGTTCGCGTTTAAGAGTGAGAATCGGTAACGCGTGTCATCCGGTGATAAGAAATCATAAGCGCGTTGTAATTTTTCACACGCGCTCCGAATGTAGCGTTAAATCCAGAGATCTAATTGTTAGCTCCGCCGAACAATCCGACGAACCATCATGGCCGCTCTTCGATCGCGATCGCGAAACCGCGCATCCGCGTATTTACGATCTAAGACGATATTCGAGATGCGATCTCGATGATCTTGATTGATGTTTATCGGAAGGAGAATGAAACTTAGGAAGGTAGGGTGAAATACTGAAACTTCATTCAACGTATCTCAGGCAGCAAAGTGACGTTATTTACTGCCATTTTGTCAAAATGTCAAAAACGTCATTTGACTCCAAAACGAGAACAATAACGTCATCTTGCTATATCTGAGGTAATATAACTTTATTATTAATTTTATTATTCAATGTATGATTTAGAGAGCGATCCTGAGGCTTTTGAATATTCTGAATATTGAGTATTGATGTACAGATAATTGGCAAGGTAGGACAAAATACTGAAACTTCACTCAACATATCTCGAATAGCAAAGTGACGTTATTTTAACGTTATTTTGAAGTCGAAATGTCAAAAATGTCATTTTGACGGGTAGCTTTAATTAGAATAGTGATGATATAACTTTATTATTAATTTTATTATTTTTGTATGATTCAGAATACGATCCTGTGATGTCTTCTGAGTATTTATTGGACGGAAAAAAGGAAATTGGCAAGGTAGGAAATACTGAAACTCCAATGTATGATATTACATAATTTTATTGTAACATGAATACGGCGATATAGATACAACAATAGGCGTAAATGAACTAATAATGGATGTAGACAATTAAAATTAAAAATTGATAATCGAAATATATTGAAAGGAAAGTGATAATTGAAACAAATATAATTTCGGCAGTTCAATTTCTGATGTCACTTGTATGAAAAAAAGAACGTTTTATTTGCAAATAAGCTAAAGATTCATTGTTATTTGCAATAGGCACTTGAATATGTATGATAAAGATTAACAAATCGATAGGGGCTATGCTGATATGATTAATTTTATTTTCTCATGAAATCCTGCAAAACATAATGAGAAATAACAAAAATAAATTGTCGATATGTAATAAGTCATAAATAATATGCATAATCGACACTCTATTTATTCAACTAATAATCGCGTCTTCAGGTTTTCCAATATCTCTGTCATCCTGTTCTCTAGCTCATCCCTTCTTTGTATTTCTTCTCTTTTCTCCTGTAACATATGCATATGGAAAAAGAATATTTTGACATAAAATATTTTTTATTTTGTAAACCTGTCTAAGCAAATTCTAAATCATTTATTTTTTTGTTAATATATTTAATTTCAAAAACACTCATATTTTTATTTTTATTTAAAATAATTTAATATTAAATAATTAGGCTATAAATTTTTAATTTCTTGAGAAATATTTTGAAAAGCATTTGTAAAATGAAATTAATTATTTTCGATTATACACATTTAAAGTTTTATGGTTTATAATATAAATAATTTGATTGAAGATATAGAATAATAGGTATTAAACATTATTTTCTTTTATTTTTCAAAGACTAAAAAAAGACACTTCCTTTTTTGTGTTTATTTGTGTATGTGTGAGTATGTGTATGTGATTTTACTGCACATGTAGTCTGCATAGACTATTAATATTGTGCGTGTGCAGTGTAGATATTTGTGTGATTTTATTCTACACGTGCACAGATTATTAATGTAATTAATAATTTATTACAGCCAATTATGTACTTTATATTACATTATATGTTATTCTTGAGAGAATGACAGAATATAAGAGATTTATTAAAATTAAAACTAAGTACAACTCGAGAACTTCATGCGTGCATCAGAGCTAGATATACGAAAAATGTATATGATATATTTTCCGTATCGAATTAGATTTTATTTGTTGCGCAAATTAACGAATGAACAACGTTTTGCCCGCAGACTAATAATTTACTTGAAATATTTTTACGTAACATTACAATTAGATATTGCGTATAAATTCCACATAGTGGATCGGTCCGTTCGGCTTTAATTGCCTCCGCTCCGACACTTTCAAGGTCGCCACTTTGTTCCGATATTCTCTGACTTTGGCTTTCTCCATATCATTTTCTGATTCATCGGTCTGTTTTATGATACTTTCGTCATCGTGATGATAAGCGGTTGGTTCCGGTGCAATGAACGCATCCGATTCCTTCGTAGTTTTGCCATTCTCCTCGACAACTTTCGTTGCATTATTGCTTTCGCTTCCAAAGTTATAATCGTCTTTGCTGAAACCGAAGAAATCATGCGCGCTCTGGGGATCGTCGAATAGCTTGCTCGTCAGGATCTGCTGCGGAGCTTTTACCTCTTCGTCGTTCTTGCGGTTTTCTTCTTCTGGCTGCAAACTCTGTCGTTTTCTTAACAGCCGTGAATGACGCGGCCTTTCCGACGATCTACTTTGCGCGTTCCGATTTGAAGGCAGAATATTCTGCAATGTAAAGACTGGTCGAGGAGATTCCTCGACCGTATTACTTAGTGATTGCGGCCTGTATATCTTATTCGACCAATTTTCCGTGTTAAGAATTTGACTTTTTATATCAATATCAAATGGTTCTTCAATTTGTGGCCTGCGTTCTTCGAAAGTATATTTATAACGGTCGAGAACATTCGTTGGAATTTCCTGAGGCTGATAGTAATAGTTATGTGGACTATTTGTGGTCTCATTCAGATTGTATTTGGTGATATTAGGTTCTACTTGGATGATCTGTTCACTGGCGCTTTGTTGATGAGCATCATAGACTGGGTCTCGCGGATGCGGAACTTCGACATGTGGATTAGGAACTTGACTTTGGGAGTTCGCAGCTTCGTTGGAGAAATAATAAAAATTGTAAGGCTGTCCATGCGGATGTACCGGATTACCAACGACTAGAAGATAACCGGAAGGTTGTTCTGAAGACTTGTCATTCGCGTCTTGTGCTGCTATTTCTTTTACAACATGTTGGTAATAATTCGGAGTATAATTTTGTGTGATAGGATAATAATTCGGTAAATTTGACGGAACGATAGTAGTCGCCGGTTCCGTATTGTCAAAGGCGTAATCGAAAGGCGGTGGCCATACCTGAAACTCCTTGTGCTCGCCTTCGTGTAATTGTCGTGGTTTTTCAAGCAAACCGATCTGCGGAGTCAGCAGATTCTGCTCTTTAAAGACTATTTGCGTGGGACTCGCATTGTCTTCATTAAACCGGCTGTTCTTACCTTGTCATTCGCATTGATATAACGCACAGGCACGACGAGAGGCACATATGTTCCAAAATCGGCTTCTTGCGATCCCGTGTTCTCCAATCTTACAACATTATCGTCATCATCTTCCTTACCACGGATATGTTCCGGTTTTTTAGGTTTTCTTGATGCTATCGACATATTATTTCGGATTCTCAGATTCTCTCCATCATTTCTATCCGCTTCATTTTCGTCATTTAAGTCGTATTCTTCATACTTATTCTCCGGTAAGGCGTATTCTTCTCTGAGCTTCTGCAGTCTAGTCAGATGTTCATCGTAACCATCCTCGGCAGATGTCTCTTCTTCATTCTCTTCCCGCGACACATCTTTGGGGTTGTTGTGAACTCTTTGCGAATCATACGCGTTAGTTTGAACATATGGATGCTTGAACATACCTAAGTAATCGGCGATTCTATCATCCTTCAGTTTCTTATTGTCTAATACCTCGCCGTAGCTGTCACGAATCACTTCGGGGTTACCGTCGTGGAAATAATCGCCGATTGGCAACTGCTGATTATATCCTATTTCTACGAACTTGTCGAAATCCTCAGGTTGTTTATATCCGTTAAATTGTTTGTTAGAATTATCGTCATGATAGTCTTCGTTTTCCTCTTTCTCATTCTTTGGCGATTGCTTCGAGGACTTGTTCGGGAGATTCTTCTGGCTGGCATACTCCTTATATTTTTCCACAGAATCTTCATCTTCCTCATCGTCATGATGCGTTGGTCTTCTCTCTTCCGTTGATTCATTCTTGGAAGTATCTCGATTTCGGTCAGCGATTTCCTCTTCGTGATTCCTGTGTCTCTCATTTATTTCTTCCTCTTTGTAGTGGTTAGCTTTATCACGATTGCTTTCTTCTTCCTGTTGGTTTGGATTCTTGACGTGCTCTTGTTGTTTGCGTCGCAATTCGTTGTTCTGCTGCTTGTTCAGCTCGTCGATATATAATTTATGATTATTTTTGTTCATTGGCTTTTTCACATCCTTCTCATCGTAAATATCTTTTTCCTTCACCGTGTACCGCTCTGTGTCTTCATTACTCCTATATACCGTCTCCTGTTCTTTCCGAATCGGCGTCTCCGTATTTTCGTTTGAGTCACTGACGGAAACTGGTGGAAAAGGATACAATTCGAGATTCTCGATAGGATCGATTGGTAGAAGATTTGGCGCGATCGGCAATGGGATCTTGACGAAGAACGGCGCCAACAGAGGCGGTTGCGAGTTTATCCTCGGATCCACCGGAATCTTTGCAGGAAGCATTGATGCGGGTCGCAATGTCGTCATCATTATTGTATTATTTTGACGACCGTGAAAGATCTGCTCATATTGCTGAAGATGTCCTAAAATGTTTGAATTATTGCCAAAGTTCAGCACACCGGTAAACCTGATGGTTTCTTGCTGCCTTGGCACAGTGGTATTCGCAGGCTGAGAAGATGCAACATGCTGTCTTACATCAACCTTGGACAAATTGGACATTGCAGCGGGTTTTGTGACGTTTGGGTTTGGCAGCGAGGCGAATTGAATTGGAGTCACCGTGTATCCAAAAATCTGGGCCAGGCCTGATAATAGAACACCGAGAGCTCTCTTATCGCGAGGATTTTCCGTAGTTTGTTTGTCGATTCCATCGGTTTTTTGTATAGGAATTTTCGATAGATTTTCGATGTACGTCAAGGGTCCTGCTTCGAATTCGGTGATTTCCTCCGGTGGCACCTCGAACGCGCGCGCGACGCACAGTAAACATAGAATAAATATTTGTACATACAATTCCATCGTGGAAGACACCTAATTGATGTTCGGAAACAATCGCATACCGCACATTAGATCTACGTATTAAGTCACTTTTAACTATCGAACTAAGGCACTTTATTTTCGTATGAAACACGCGTTTCTTTTAAAATCTGCAGTCTTTATCTTATCTGAAAAATTCACACATACTGTTTATATTCTAGCATTTGTTTTACGTCACCAATCACTATTATTACTGTTTTTATTAAAAGATGAGCAATAATCAATTATATAGATAAATGATTTAAAACTTGGCCGTAGATATTGTTGCAATAATTGCAGTCGGATCGCGCTACTTTTGTGCCTCAGAACTCCACGAGGACTGCCGGCCGATTGCGGCGGCATAGCTGTCATTAAACAATGACTTGACGGGCAGGGATAATTTTTGCATAATATCGGAAAGAAATATCGAGTTTCTCTTGAATTGTACGGGCCTACTCGTTGATTTGCGACAACTGAAGCAGTACGACGCAATGCGCGCGCGGGAATGACTGAGGTACGGAATTGCGCACGAATAAGTTGGTATTACTACTAAAGAAATAAATGCTAAAAAATTATGCGCGCTCATGCGATTCTGGCTAGATAAATTCTCTCTCGACATTTAATTGCACGCAAAAATAACATACCTGTTGCAATATTCCACAGTTTTTAAGAGAACGAAAGATCCACATTAGATATGTTAGTTTCTATCGTTAACAATAATTAGGTTTTGTAAGTAAAAAATGGAAGGTGCGAGTTACTTTAATTATAATAATTTAATTATTCTGAGAACAGCGAGAAACAAAAAAGGAAGGAATATTTGTTCTTAGTTACTTATAGAGAGGCCAATTGTCACTGTAATATTTTTAATTCCATACAAATAAGTATTTCTTTATGTAAGGATTAATTTTTACAATTTTTACACATAAGTATTTCTTTGTATAAAATTGAAGAATATTTTTTATTTGAAATTATAATGCACCAGAAAAAAGTTTAAGATAACTAAGCCAGCTATTAAAGATATGACAGACTTGCCGTACATGCTTGCGTTTGTGCATTTTTTTACTTTCCTAAGTGAAAGGGTTTCCACCAGTGCGTGCACAAGCGTAAAATTAATTTGTATTTACTGCCGTTATCTCAGATTCTCAGTAGCTTGTCTAATAAAAATATTTTTATTTGTTCCGTTGAGAATTGCCAGTGTGAAGAAAAATAATTGTTCTCGTAACAAACTTTCTTATATTCGGGTCGACAACCTCATACTTTTAGAATCTAAAATAAGAAGCGAAGATTATTAAGAATAACACTACCATTACATGTTCGAATTAATCAATAGAGAACCGATATTGATTTCGATGAATTAAAAATTTACTTGTCAATGCATGTACATAATTTATATTTCCCGTTTTAAGTGTGCTACATATAAAAAAAAGTGACTTACATTTTGAACATAATAATGAGAAAAATATAACATAACATATTTTTAAAAAAGATATGAAATTTGAAGAAGAGAGGCTTCTTGTACTAACCCAACTTTTAATTTGTATTAATTAACGCGATGTATTTAGTTGAACGAAGAATTTTGAAATTCAATCAATATGTGATAAGGAATTTATTTAAATATCTATATATATGGCAATGTTATATAAAATGTACCTATCCGTGCAAGCGTTATATAAAATGTATCTATTCGTACGAGCATTTCCATAAAAACAATTATGTTACGTCCGACTACAGTTGATTGTGACAATAGAAAGACGGGAGTATTACGGAAGATCGATGGCAGTAAATATGAATTCAAGTCGTTTGTCGTGTCCAATCAATATCGACGTGGCCGATCACGTGGACAACATGTGTACATTAGTGCCAATTATGTGCTTTTTATACTTTAGTTTAAATTTCGGTTCGCTACCCTTCACCTTTGAAACACATATACTACAATTTAGACTAAATTATAGTGTTAGACTAAATTATAGTGTATACGTATTTTTCTTAAATTTTTATTATTTTTATTGTTTTTGGTACTTTAGGCTTAGGCCTCGGTTCGAATCCTGGAGCACCCTGATATTTTTCTCGTGTTGTCGCTTATTTCTTACATATGCTTCGAGATTTTCGAATGTTCTATAGAAGACCACAATGTGCCTTCAAAGTACCTACATTTACAAAAAACATTTGCAAAAAACTGAACTCCAATCTTTGAGCAATGAATCTGATTTCCATTCTTTTCAATATCTTTGTGTATACAAAACTGTTTTTCTCGACATTTTTTTTATCCATTTAGAGCTTCTTTTACCAATTGTTCACTAACTTCTGATTAAATTAATCGACGATTACAACTCACAAAAGTGCCAACAGCAGTTTATATATATATAATGTATCAAAATATCTTCTCTCTTTTCCTCTTCTGATTGTGAGACAAACTGTGTTTAGTTTTTCTTACATTGGCAATCGTGATGGTTGAGTTAAGGAGCATTTATACTGGCCGCAACCGTCTATAATAATTGACCAATCACAGTCGAGTATTCTTCTCTCATTCGATTGTAAGAGAGGAATACTATTATTCGACTATGATTTATAGTCATTTCTTACAGATTACGGCATTTGGTTATGGCCAGTATGATCAGTAATATTGTCAGTATTTGTTAATACTGACAGTATTATTGACCGTGTAGAGTCAACTTAAGCGCATTGTAGGATATAAAAATTACCTCGCATTTTAAAATACGCAATAATATCAAACTTTGGCAATTCTCAAACATATAATTAGATTGTAAAATAATTTAGTATTAAATGCTAGCAGCTACTTTTTCTACCAATAATAATAATAATAATAACTTTATTGCTGCAACTGTTTATAAGTAGTAAAAAAGTAAAATACATGAGAGAAAATAAGAGTGATAGGTGCACGCAAAAGGTGCGACAGCAGCTAAAAGACTGATTAGAAGCCGAACCTTAGTGATAATCAAAATCTCCCAAACTGAATGATAATAATAATAAATCATATAAAAAGGCCATGTCACAAGAAGTCTTTTAATACTTTACAGCAAACAACAAATTCGAAACGTATATTTCGGGAGTAACAAATTCAAATAATACGTCAATGCCAAATTTGAACGAGCGACAAATTTTTTTTCAAATAGTTTACTTTTGTGTGCACACTGGTTTTCGTTATTATTTATACTTATTGTACAAGTAACAAATTCGTAACTTGTATATCTCGAGAGTAACATCGGTTTTTTTATAATTTACAAAGCAACAAATTTTTTTCCTTGGCAACTTTTTAGCAACAAATAAGCAACAAATAAAAATGTTAGAATTGATTCTGCTCACTTTGTTCCGCTAACTTATAAGACGTTTGTTACGGCTTTCGTAAGTAGATGTATATGATTTGCTCTTTGGTCAGAGAAAGTTGCTATTTCCTAGTTTGGCGACGATAAAACCTCTTAGGACGACGATTCGCGAGGGAGGGATAGAATAAAAACGCAGACCGCGCGTTTAAGGAAGGGCTCACGATTACATAACGTCCTTAATACATTTAAGATTACGTGGCTTTGGATGAATTCGGAATACTTCATGAACGAACGCAATGTAAACGGTAGTACTATTCGAATTGAATAGCAATGCGAGCGATGCATGTTATTTTATCTCCTTTAACGACATTTAAGTCTTAAATATTCAAGTATGAAATAAGAAATTGAGATTGCACTCATTTTCATAAACGTTGTTACGTTATGAATTAATGTGGCAATGTGGCAATGTGGCGAAAACGTAGTTACTGAACAAAATCAATTAGTACAGTCACGACAGCGAATATTGCATATAAGGCAAAGATATTTCACAGTATTATATTGTAATCTTATTACTTGATGGCACATTTTTATTCCATTAAAAAATTAATTTATTAAAATATTGCTTGCATTAATTTTTAATAATGAAATTTTTAATAATGAATTGAACAAATTGTATACTTGGTTTATTTCTCTAAAATCTTGTAATAGATTGTAATTAATTTTATGAATTTACAAAAAATTAATATTTATTTTAAAAAATTGTCTAGTTACGAACATATTTTTCAAAAATTTACTTTATTAATAGTCATCTAAGAAAAGAGTTTACTTGCATAAAATGATATTATACATAGAAAAAATTTAGAAGCAAAATTTCTGTAAATTTTTATAAAAATCTCATGTTACTTATATAATTTTTTTGGAATGATTTCTCTCATAGAGATCGTCTCGCGAAAGTGAACGTCTACAATATAGCAATGAGTGCGTCAATATGTTTTGTTCGATTCTTTGTTGTCGCGTGAAAGTGTAACATTTTTATCTCTTTTAAAATAATTAAGAGAACATTGTCTTCTTTTCAATCTTATATTTAGCGTAACATAAATCGAGCAATTTTATCTTATAATTTTATTCGAATATTTTTTGTAATATCTTTTATATTGTAAAAAGCAAGTGACAAAATAATATTAACTTCTCATTTATCTTGTATATCTCATATATTTTCAATTAGAAGATTGACCTCGGAAATAAATCGCGATACTCTTTCATGCAATCGTTATGTCGTTCAACGATTTTTTAGATGGGAGTGGTTTTGTAGAGTTGTTAGTCAAGATGCTAGTTGTATGTGTGCGCATACCGGTGGATCTAGAATTCACCATAAATTTAGCAAACAACTTGTATAAGGAATGCAGTATAAAAGAAGTGTCAACCCCTTGAACACTATCAGTTAGTGCGCACTATTCTTAACATGAAGCTACTGGTAAGCATTTAATTCGTAGAGATTGAAATATAAAATTTAGTGAATAATAATCTCATTTTTATGTACCGTACATGTGAGAACACAATCGATAAACTAGAACCCTATATCGGTCAAAGCTAGATCTTAAATGCTTAAATAATTCAATCTTGAATTACTAAATATGTTATATATGTACTTGACATATATATCATACTTGTAGTCTAACAAACTGTAATCTAATGGCTTAGGACGCTCATACGGAATACAAGAGATCTGGGTTCGACTCCCGGCCGAGATAATATTTTTCGCAATAAATTTAATTACAGTTTTTTCAGCATATTAACATC